TACTCTCTCTCTCTCTCTCTCTCTCTCTCTCTCTCTCTCTCTCTCTGTGAAGAAAAAACAAAACTTTTTTTTTTTTTAAAACCGTCATTTTGGCCGTTATTAAACATTATTTCATGTTTTCCTGTGATAATAGATGGCGTTACTTGCTTGGTTGTTTTTTCGAATATAATTTTTTGTTCGAATATTTTTTTTGTTTTGATGATTTTTGGTACAACAAAAATTGAAACACATTTATCATTTGGTACATTTCATCAATAAGATATTGATAAAAATTAATGAACATTTTGTTTGTTTGTTTGAATAAATAATGATGATTATCATTTATAAATGATGATCAATCAATCAATCAAATTGATCATAAATATGACTAAGAAAATTTTTTGTTTTGTTTTGTTTGTGTTTTGATTCAAACATTGGGAACAAAAAAAATATTTAAGAATAAAACAACATTCAATTTTTCCTCAAAATTTTCAAAGCATCAATCTGCGAAAAACAACAAAACAAAAAAGAAATCAATCAACAATGGTATTTGGTATAAAATTTGCTCCATTTTCTATACCATTTAGACGCCGGTTACAAACATTGGCCATATATTTATCAATGTATATTCCATTTTGTGGAATAATTTCATCAATAATATTATTTCGTTTATTATATACACAATATTATTATATAACATTATTGTATTTATTTTGGTGGATATTTGATCATGAAACACCAATACGTGGTATGTATTCATTTAAGAAAAATGTTCATTTAAAATAAATTGAATTCATCAATGACAGGTGGACGAAGAATAAATTGGTTTCGTAATTTACCAATATGGCGTTTATATGCAGAATATTTTCCCATTCGTTTGATTAAAACAGTCGATATACCATCGAATCGTAATTATATATTTGGTTTACATCCACATGGAATATTATCATTTTCACATATTACTAATTTCTTAACGGAAGGAACAAATTTTTCTAAATTATTTCCCGGTATTATACCACATTTGGTTACTATTAATATGCAATTTAAATTACCAATACAAAGGGATTTATTTTTATGTGCCGGTGCATGTTCAGCATCCAAAGAAAGTTGGAATTATATTCTTAGGTATGGTGTATGTCTATTCAACCTCAATTTAAACTGATTAACAACTGATTTTCTTTAGAAGAAAAAAAGGAACCGGTAATGCTGTTTGTGTTGTAATAGGTGGTGCACGTGAAGTATTGGATACCATACCAAATACAATGATATTAACATTGAAAAATCGTAAAGGTTTTGCACGTGAAGCATTAGAAAATGGGTAATGTTTTCTCATTTTTTTGTTTTGGAAAAAAATAATTCACTAATTTTTTCTAATTTGTATAATCATCACACACATAGAGCATCACTTGTACCGGTTATATCGTTTGGTGAAAATGAACTTTATCAAACAATGCATCATGAAGAAATGAGTACCGGGAAAAAAATACAGGAAAAATTATATAAATTATTAACATTTACTCCTCCATTATTTTTCGGTATGTTCAATCTATTGATTGATTGATTGATTACTTATATCTTTTATCATTATATGTAAAATTCATTAATCTTTTAAGGTCGTGGAGTTTTTCAATATTCATTCGGTATAATGCCATATCGTAAAGAAATTTTTACAGTCGGTATGTATTACAAAATATCGAAAGAATAACCGAAATTTTAATTCAATTTTGCTCTGAATTCAATCAATCATTTTTTTAGTTGGTAAACCAATCGATGTAGAAAGAATATCATATCCTACCGATGCACAAATTGATGAATTACATGAAAAATATATTCAACAAGTAATCAATCTATATGATGAACATAAAAATAAATATGGTTATGGTGATATTCCAATCAAAATTAAATGAATGAAAAAAAATTCCTCCTAACACATTCACGTGACTGAACCAAAATCATCATTCATCATTGGCCAAATGTTTTGCTTTTCGTAATTTTTCTTTTTGAAATTATCATTTTTGTTTTTCGTTGAATGTTTTTTCTTGAATGTATGTATTATCAAAGACTATTTTATCAAAAAATAATGACAAATGTTGTTGTTGTTTTTATTTTATCGTTTGAAATAAAAAAAATATAACAGCAAAACCTTGATCATAATCAAAGAAACAAAATCAAATTGATTATCATCATTATCACCATTTAATGTGATAAATTTTGTTCTGTTTTTTGGCATAAAAATCCATAATTTTTTCTGGGTTTATAAAGTATTTTGTTCGATATTTGAAAAATGTTTCACGTTCTTTATATGTTAATGGCACATATGTTTACGAAAACATTTGGACTTGATTTTTTCGACCAAAAAAATTTTTGAACGGATTTTGCGAAATTTCAAAAGTTTTTTCCCTTTGATTTAATTTAATAAAAGTTTTTCGAAAACAAAAGCTGAACAAAAAAAATCGAGAACTGAACAACAACAACAACAATGGCATTTGGAATCGAATTTGCACCATTTCTTATACCATTTCGACGCCGATTACAAACATTTGCCGTATTTTATTATGTAACAAATTTTCTTCTATCTGGATTGTTTGGATTATCGATAACATTATCATTTTTCTTAACACGTTATTATTATGTACCATTTTTATATCTTTGTTGGTGGATTTTTGATCATGAAACACCGTTACGTGGTATGTGTATTATGTTTACAAAAAAAACAAATTTCAAAAAAGTAAAAATTTTGATGATATGCCAAAAAAAAAGGTGGACGAAGATGTAATTGGTATCGTCATCTGCCAATATGGAAATGGTTTGCCGAATATTTTCCCATTCGTTTGATTAAAACAGCCGAATTACCAGCGGATAGAAATTATATTTTTGGTTTACATCCACATGGAATACTTTGTCATTCACATTTTGTTAATTTTGCAACTGAAGGAACAAAATTTTCCGAATTATTTCCGGGAATAACACCACATTTGATTGCATTGAATTTTCAATTTCAATTACCAATACAACGTGAACAATTTATGTTGACCGGTTCTTGTTCAGCATCAAAAGAAAGTTTAGAATTTATTCTTAGGTATGTATGTCATTCTCGATCAATCTTTCTTTTTTAAACTGATAATTAAACTAATCAAACATTTACTTTATAATAAAGTAAGAAAAAAGGAACCGGTAATGCTGTAGGATTGATAATAGGTGGTGCACGTGAAGTATTGGATACAATACCAAATACAATGATATTAACATTGAAAAAACGTAAAGGTTNTTTTTTTTTTGTGTAACACATAGAGCATCACTTGTACCGGTTATATCGTTTGGTGAAAATGAACTTTATCAAACAATGCATCATGAAGAAATGACCTTGGGTAGAAAAATACAGGAAAAACTATATAAATTATTAACATTTACTCCACCATTATTTTTCGGTATGTTTTCAATCTATTGATTGATTAATTGATTGACAGGATATGTGTTATCATGTGGAATGTGTTAATTTTTTGTTTTCATTAACATTTAAGGTCGTGGTGTTTTTCAATATTCATTCGGTTTAATGCCATTTCGTAAAGAAGTTTTTACAGTAGGTAAGTACATACACAAAACGTAATTCTAATAACAAACAGAAATTTAAATTAATTTTTTTTTTGCTCTGAATTCATTTCTAGTTGGTAAACCAATCAATGTAGAACGAACACCGCATCCAACCGATGTACAAATTGATGAATTACATGAAAAATATATTCAACAAGTAATCAATCTATATGAGGAACATAAAAATAAATATGGTTATGGTGATATTCCAATCAAAATTAAGTGAAAAAATGAAATAAAAAACAAATTCTCAGACAATACTCATTCATTTATCAACATGTCTTTTTTGTTTCTTCTGAAAAAATCATTTTGAAATTATCATTTTTTTTCTGTTTTTAAGGAAGATTTATTAAATAATTTTTTTATCAGCCAATCAATCGATCGATCAATAATGAATTTTATTTGACAAATATTTTTGTTGTTTTTTTTTGGTCTGAGAAAAAGTAACAAGGAAAACAAACAACCAAAATAAAAATCAGGAGAGTGTGAATCAATCAAACAAGTTGTTCAAAATCACAATTTTGTTTTAATCAGTAAAAAAAAAAATATTCAAACGAACAGAAAAATAATCAGAATCTATTTGTTTATCAGCCATTTATTTTAATCAATATAGCAATATCATCATTAAGAGAAATTATTTTGTTTCTGGCTACATTACAATCTTTGGTGGTTCTGTTTTTTTTAATGTTTGTTTGATTAATTTGTTCAAAACACATTTGTACTTCATTTCACTCGGATCATTCTTTTTTTTAATTGTCCGGGATTTCGTTTTCGAATCTTTTTATTTTTATTTTTTTTTTAAGAAAAGAACCGAACCAACAGAGAAACAACAACAACAACAACAACAATGGCATTTGGAATCAGATTTGCACCATTTCTTATACCATTTCGACGCCGATTACAAACATTTGCCGTATTTTATTTTGTTGCAAATTTTCTTTTTACTGGAACATTAACATTGTTATTATTGTTATCTATTTTATTTACACGTTATTATTATATACCAATTTTATATCTTTGTTGGTGGATATTTGATCATGAAACACCATTACGTGGTATGCATATTAAGATGATTTTTCCTTTTTACAATTGAAATTCATTCATTCATTTTTTTTTTGACGATAAAAAGGTGGACGAAGAAGTAATTGGTATCGTCGTTTATCAATGTGGAAATGGTTTGCCGAATATTTTCCCGTTCGTTTGATTAAAACAGCCGATTTACCAGCGGATAGAAACTATATATTCGGTATACATCCACATGGTATACTTTGTCATTCACATTTTGTTAATTTTGGTACGGAAGGAACAAATTTTTCCGAACTATTTCCCGGTATAACACCACATTTGATTGCATTGAATTTTCAATTTCAATTACCAATACAACGTGAATTATCATTAATGAATGGTGCTTGTTCACCATCAAAAGAAAGTTTAGAATTTATTCTTAGGTATGCAAAAAATGGTTATTTATTTGATTCATTCATTCATTTTGAAACTAAATTAATCACCATTTTTTAATAATAAAGTAAGAAAAAAGGAACCGGTAATGCTGCAGGTCTGATAATAGGTGGTGCACGTGAAGTATTGGATACAATACCAAATACAATGATATTGACATTGAAAAAACGTAAAGGTTTTGCACGTGTTGCATTAACAAATGGGTAAAATATTTTCAATCTTTGTAAGAAAAAAATTCACTAATTTTTTTCATCACACACACAGAGCATCACTTGTACCCGTTATATCGTTTGGTGAAAATGAACTTTATCAAACAATGCATCATGAAGAAATGACTTTGGGTAGAAAAATACAGGAAAAACTTTTAAAATTATTAACATTTACTCCACCATTATTTTTCGGTATGTTCAATCGATTGATTGATTGATTGAGATTTGTGTTAACTTTTTCATTTTAACATTTTAGGTCGTGGCGTTTTTCAATATTCATTCGGTGTAATGCCATTTCGTAAAGAAGTTTTTACAGTCGGTAAGTCATACACAAAAACGAAAAGTAACCGAAATTCTAATTCAATTTTGCTCTGAATTCAATCAATCAATCATTTTTTTCAGTTGGTAAACCAATCAATGTAGAACAAACACCGCATCCTACCGATGTACAAATTGATGAATTACATGAAAAATATATTCAACAAGTAATCAATCTATATGAGGAACATAAAAATAAATATGGTTATGGTGATATTCCAATCAAAATTAAATGAATGAAGAAAAAACAAACAAACAAAAGACATGAATTGAATAAAAATTTTTTAATAAAATTTATTTAATAGATCAGAATTTTTTCCATATATGAAAAAGAAAGAAAGAAAAAAAGAGATTCATAAACAAACGCAATCATTGAAGACCTTTGGAAAAAAACAAAAAAAAAATTTAAATAAAAATTCAATGATAATTTTTAAATTTCAAAACATACTGCTACATTTTCAAGCGATTATCAATTTTATTCATGCTTTCCATATTATTATTATTTGGATGGCATACATTTTTCGACAGCCTGTTGAAAAGCATTTCGTCGTGTTTCATCCTAAAATTCCAACAACAACAAAAATTTGAATGAATTTTCAGTGAAAAAATAAAATTCCAATAAAATTACCTTGAATTTAATAACAAATATTTGATCTTCACCATTTGGATTTTCCGAAAAATCTTTACAACCCCATATAAAACTATTTATAGTTCGTTCTTTTAATCGTAAATGTTCAGTTATTTGATGATTACAAATAATTTTAAAAACATTATCACGACGCATCAATAGACGATAATTATCTGGAAAATTTTTTTGTTCAAAAGAGAAAAAAAATGAAATTAGTTAATTGAAATTGAACAATTCAAATCAAATTACCTGTATCACGTTTTCGTAAAATTTTCATTTCACCAACACCACGTTCTTTAAATTCATTTGTTTCTTTAATATAACGATATAGTTTAGCACGTTCTTTATATATAACTTCTTCATTTTCTTCACCCGTTATATGGACATAATTTTCCGGTAACATTTTACTTTTTTCCGATACATAACTAAATGTTTCTACTTCTGATTCTGCTTCACCATCTTTATTCAATTTGATTGTATCGATTTTAGCTGTTTGAACATCACTAGTTAGACCAGAAAATAATCCCAAACCATTGGTTGCTGCCCATGGATTAGAATTTTGTTGTTGTTGTTGTTCCTCATCTTTAACGGCTAATAAAGTTGAATGTGTGAGATCATTCCATGATAATTCATCAACTCGACAACCAATACATCCTTTACATGGTTGTTTTTCTTCATAACTGAAAAAATTTTTCGGTAATTTTAATGAATCAATCAATGGTAAATGTTCGGGTTTTGGTTCACGGACAAAAACAATCTGTATATCTTCATCCAAAGAATTATTGGAAGATTTTTCTATCACCGTCGTCGGTACATCTGTAGATATTTCTTCACTAACTGTAGCATTAGTTTGTGACGATATTGATTTTTCAGTTTCATCATCAACTTTATCAGTTAAATTTTCTTTGATAAATTGTAAAAATTCTTTCAAATCTCTTGATTTCAATGCAAATGTCTGTGGATCTGGTTTGTTATCACTAAAATCAATACATTGAAATAAAACATGTTTGGATTTTTCATCAAATTTAATATCTTTGTTGAGCCAAGTATTCAAACAAACAGTATGAACTTGATCACGACGCATAACCATACGTAATTTTTTCGTTATTTTATGTCGTAAAATTTTCAATTCACCTGTTCCACGTTCTTTATATTCAGGTGCAACAAATACATAAAGTTTTGCACGTTTCATACAATAAATTTCTAATTCATCTTCTTCACCAGTAATATGTTCATAATTCTCAGGTAAATTAACTTTTGGTAGAATTAAATCTTCACCCGAACCACTTTGATCATGTTCATGTTCATTTTCACTTTCATGTTGTTGTTGTTGTTGTTGTATATTGTTTGATTGATCTAATTTAGGTGGTGAAAACATTGTATTCTGACCTAAATTCATATTATTTGAAAATGAAAATAATCCAGAATTTTGTGCTTTTTCTGGCGTTGACGTCAACAACGATGATTGAGTGACCATAAGCTGATTTCCTAGATTATTGAATGCTGGAAATTGATTAGTTGAAATGTTACCAAATTGAAATGTTGATGAAAATGGTGTTGTTGTTGTTGTTAATGATGATTTATCAATATCTACATTAGCAATAGTATTGGCATTCGTTGATGTAATGTTTGGAAATGAAAATGAATTGGACACTACATTAGCATTAGGATTCGGTACATTTAATGATGATGCATTGAATGAAAAATTTGATTGAATCGATGGAATTGTTGTGGCTGTTGTTGTTGTTATTGTTGTTATGGATGTCTTTGACGAATCTGAAGAACTGGAAGCAAATGAAAACAATGATTTAGTTGTGTTTACAGAAATTTGTGGATTATTAAGGATTTCTGTTTTTGTTGATAATGCTATAGTAGTTGGTATTTTAAATCCAAAAAGGCCACTGGAATTAGTTTGATTAGTATTTAGATTTGTTACATTCGCATTATCATTGTTATTGTTGTTGCTTGAATTCTGCGAAAATTCAGGAAAATTAAATGAACCGAATTTAAATGTAGAATTTGTTTGACCAAACAATGACGATGTTTGTTGCTGTTGTTGTTGTTGTGCGCCTATAGGTGAAGCAAATAAATTTTTAACTACATTTTGTTCTGCTGGATTTCTTGGCGATTCACATGAAACACAATTTAAAACATTATCATCATTAGTAACAGCACATATTTCACATGTCCACATATTTCCTTGTTTTGTTTTCATAAACAATTCATTCAATGGTCGTTGATCATTTGTTGTTGTTTTCAACGATGGTAGATTTTGTTGATAATAATTTTCATCATCTTCTTCATCTTCATAATCATCATAATTATCGTCATCATCATCACGATTTCCACGGTAAATATTAATAGATTCAATTTTTTCATTTAATTCATTAAATTTTTCTTCAAATTTATCACCAAATTCATGTATAATATTTGATATTTTATCCAATTCTATTTTGAATGTTTGTTTATCTTTTTGTAATTCCATTAATATTTTATTTGAATTTTGATTCGAAATCAATGATTTATTCATTTCATTATTCTTATTCAATAATGTTGTTAATTTTTTATCCATTTCATCAAATTGTTGCTAATCAAAAAACAAAACAAAAAATAGATAAATTTTTTTAAATAGAAACAAAAATTAATTACACATACTTTTAACATTGTAATAGCTTGAGCATTATTTTGAGCTATCAATGAATTAGAATTAGCCATCTGATCTTTTATCATTTGAATTGAATTGATTATGGTTGAAAATTTTGTTTCGATTAAATTTTCAATTGCTTTGAAAATATCCGAATCTAATGTGACTGTTGTTGTTGTTGTTGGAGAATTCTGTGAAAAGAAAAAAAAATAAGTTTTAGATTAGAGAATTGTTTCATCATCAATTTACCTGTCCAATATTTGGTCCATTTTTATTTCTTGGACTCATATTCATACGATTTGAAAATGTTTTTAATCTTGATGGTGATTGAAAGATTTGATCACCACCACCACTATCATTTAGAAAATTATTAGCCGATTCGATTGATTTTAACTCCAATGATTTTTGATAATTTTTTATAGCCAATTCATTTTCACCTAATGCTTCATTGATTTGTGATAAAAATTTATATGCTTCACTTGAATCGGGTTTCAATTCCAATAATTCATTTATATACCTTTTGTATTCAAAAATATATTTGATTAGCAAATCATTATCGAATATTTCATGAAAAATGATAATTACACTTACATTAATGCCGAACGATAATCTTTATTTTGGAAAAATAATTTAGCAATATTAAGATTTCGTAGGATTTTCTTGTTTTTTTTTATTTGGAGGGTGGAAAACAGAAATTTAAAAACAAAGTTTCATTAGAATTTGCCAAGAAATACATACCTGATTCAAATCAGATTTATTTGTTCCAAACATTTTTCTTTTCTTATTAATTTTTCTTGTTTCCAATTTCAAAAATGGTCAATTCAATAATCGTTGATGTTTTGAAAAAAATTCCTAAACAAAAACCGAAAAAAACAAACAAAATTAGAAAGTTATTCAATTGAAACAAAAATGCCGAGTAGCATGGATGGAAACACACACACACACAGACATTCGAAAATAATGCCGACTTATTTTACCGGTTCAACGTAAAAGTCACAATCAATTTTATGTCAAATATTTTATTTACGTTTTCAACTAGAAGCATTAATTACAGGTGAAATTGATTTCAATGATAGACGTTTGATTGAAAGTTATGATAAAATGATGAAACCATTCGCTTTAATATTATCGTATACAGCACAGATGGATTGATTATTGTGACTATACAATTACGTAAACGCGGTTTTTTTTTCTGGAAGCAGCACAGTTTATCAATGCGTTTCTCTATTCGATCAAAATGAACGAATGAGAATCATCTACACGAGCGACATCTACGAATCTTATTTGATATTAAAAATTTTTGTCTCAAAATTATCCGGATTTTTTTTTTTTAATTCCGGATTTCCAAAGAATTCTAAAAATAAAATAGAAAAAAAATTCTAAATATAACAACAACATTATCAAGAATTTCGAATCAAGTGAAAAACAAAATGATTTTGAAACAATAGTCACAACAAAAGAAAAGAAGAAAAAACCCGGGTCAATTTTCCGATTTTCGAAACCTTTCTCGGGTAATCTCAAAAACCTTTTTTTTTATACCGACAAATTTACCCGACCAATTTCAAACTGTGTATGCGGTATTTAAAGAAAATGTCAAAACAAAAAAAAAATTTTCCAAAAAAAAGCAGCAACAACCGATCCGAAAAAAAATGCTGGAAATGCAAAAAGGTGACTCCTACTCAAATCATCATTTTTATATATAGAAAAAGTTTAATGAAAAATTTTGGAACAACAACAACCACCACCACCACCACCAGCAGCAGCCAAAAACTTTATAATTTTGTTTTTTTTGGCTGACTGATGTTGTTGTTATACGGGTATTATTAATAGGCGGCGGTCCCACTTGTATAAACTAACAAACAGACTAAACCGAAAAATGCACTGTGGAAGTAGAAAACGGGAAAAGTTTGCGATTTGACAAACTTTCGAGTTTAACATATCAAGCAAGCATGATCCGGCAAACTAGTTTTTTTAGTTTATACAAGTGGGACCGCCGCTATAGAAAAGAACAAAAAAAATTCTTCNATTGTGACTATACAATTACGTAAACGCGGTTTTTTTTTCTGGAAGCAGCACAGTTTATCAATGCGTTTCTCTATTCGATCAAAATGAACGAATGAGAATCATCTACACGAGCGACATCTACCAATCTTATTTGTTATTCAAAATTTTTTTGTCTCAAAATTACCCGGATTCTTTCTTTTTTTAATTCCGGATTTCCAAAGAATTCTAAGAATAAAATAGAAAAAAAAATTCTAAATATAACAACAACATTATCAAGAATTTCAAATCAAATGAAAAACAAAATGATTTTGAAACAATAGTCGCAACAACAAACCGGGAAAAATCCCGGGTCAATTTTCCGATTTTCGGAACCCTAAAGTTCTGTTTTCTCGGGTAATCCCAAATACCGACAAATTTACGCAACCAATTTCAAACCGCTGTATATGCGGTATTGTAAAGAAAATGTCAAAACAAAAAAAAAAATTTTCGAAAAAAAAAACAGCAACAACCGATCCGAAAAACTGCTGGAGAAATACAAAAAGGTGACTCCTACTCAAATCATCATTTTTATATATAGAAAAGTTTAATGAAAAATTTTGGAACAACCACCAGCAGCCAGAAACTTTCTAATTTTGCTTTTTTGGCTGATGTTTTTGTTATACGGGTATTAAAAGAAAAAATTCTTCCGTGGATGCATTACGGGCGCCAACCAAGAAGAAATCTACAGAATCATCGTCATATAGAATTCTAAATACGTGAATGAAAGAAGGAAGAAAGATTGGCGCGTTCGGTCCTATATTTGGAACTCATCTTTTTCAGTGTTTCAGTGTGTTTGTTCGACTGTGTGTGTGTTTCTCGATCCATTTCAAGGTGCCTAAAAAAAAGTTGTTTTTTTTTCGGGCAATTTCGGGATGTTCACCAGCCACAACATTCGAAAAAAAACGGCCACTATACTGATGATGATGACCACCACCATTGAATTGCCGCATTGAAAATCATCATCATTTGTTTAGGTTGTTGTTGTTGTTGTTATCTTTTTTTATCGTTTCTTTCATTGTTTGTCATAACCATAATTAGTTTTTTTTCTTCTTCTCTCGATCAATTTGATTTTCACTCGGTTGATGTAAGTTGCTCATTTAATTAGATTTTTTTTTCTATTTCTAATTATGATTTTCTTTTCTTTTTTCTTGTTGTGGGATCCACCAGCAAAAACCAAAAATCTTCATCGATGACCGATATTGATAGTGGAAAATTTTCATTCTTTTCTTTTTCTTTGGTGCTCTCATTTGACTTCCCTTCACACGAATGAAAACGAATTTAAAAGTAAACAAAACTTTGTTCAATGTTGTGATAATTTATTTTCTTCTTTTTTTTTGACATAAACACAGATTATTATATAAACAAACGTTCGAATTCGAATGTTAAGAAGAAGAAGCATTCGAAATCCAAATTCGGAATTGTGAATATTCTCGATTTTTACATCATCGATTTTGTTTTTGTTTTTATAAACAAAAACAAAAACAAACGACATTCATCCGGTGCATAATGATGGTGTTTGAATTGTGTTTTTTTTTTTCTCGATGTGATATAATAATTTCAAAGTCTTCGAATGTTGTTCTTGTTCTGTTGATCATTTGATGATTATCAAAAATCAGATTTTTTGGACATTTTTTTTTGATTGCACAACAAAAACAACAACAACAACAACATTAATGAATCATGGAAATGACGTAAATACTCATTATTATCATCATCATCATTATCATCATCAAAAATTGATTGTAAATGTTCTTTTTTTTTTGTTTCTGTCATCATCATCATCATCGTTGATCATCATTAAAATTTTCATTATAAAAAAAAATTGATGTGTTCACACAACAACATCCATTATCATCATCATCATCATTATTATCATCAATAGAAAAAAAACAAACTCAAAATTGGATTCAATTTTCCAATGATAAAAAAAAAACACAAATGATGATGAAGAAGAAAATATCAATATCATCAACAACTTTTAACAAATATCATTTCCAATTTCATTCATTAATTTTTCTGCCAAACAACAAAATTTATATCAATTGATCGATTGATTGATTGATTGATTTTTGGTGTTTAGAATTCAACCACCACCATTACCACCATTATTATCATCATTATTATTTAGATTTGTAAATCTGTGATTTGAATTTGTTAATTTTTTTTTCTTGTTTCATTTTTTGTTCGACGTCATCATCATTCGAATTTGTGCATCGATAAACAAAACAACAACAAAAAAAAATTTCTGTCGTCGATTTTAATCCCTCCTCTTCCGTTGTTCAACAAACAACAACAAAAAAAATGCCATAAACATTCGAAATTTGTATTTTGATCAACGATCATCAATCATTGATCATCGATTACCACCAAAATTACCACCATTACCACACCCACACGCTTATTGATACAGTTTCTTTCTTGTTGATTTTTGTTAAAACTTTTAAAGAAAAATTATTTAAACAAAACAAACAGAAAATATATCAATCGAAAATGCCATTATTCGGTAAAGTTAAAGATCATCATCATAATCAACAACAACAACAGCAGCAACAATCGTCATCTTCATCAACAACAACAAAAACATCAACAATGAATACAAAGGTTAATGAGAATAATAATAATAGCAATAATAATAATAATGATAAAAACAAAAACAACAACAACAACAACAAAAATTCACACAATACAAATGACCAACAACAACAACAACAACAACAGAAAAAAACATCATCGACAACAACAACAACAACATCAATGATTGGTGGTAAAACAAATCCAATGCCAAAAGTTGAAGATAAATATGAAATAAAAGATTTACTTGGAACGTAAGTAATTCCTTATTTGATTGTTTGAAATATGATTTTTTTTTCAAGAATTTAATTCTGAATTTTTTTTTCGCTCGAATAACAACAACAATAAAAAAAAGTGGTGCTTTTTCCCAAGTATATCTTGCACAAAATCATAATGATCCATTACAAATGGTTGCTATAAAATGTATTGATAAAAAAGCCTTAAAAGGCAAAGAAGATTCATTGGATAATGAAATTAAAGTTTTAAGAAAGTAATGTGATGATTTTGATTACGAAATCTAAGGAAAAAAATTATTAATGAAAATTTTCTCTTTCTCTTTTACATGCTCACAACTGAAATCATCATTCGTTTAAAAACAAAAAGATTAAAACATAAAAATATTGTTCAATTAGTTGAAACATTTGAAGATCGTAATAAAGTTTATTTAGTTATGGAATTGTATGTATTATTATCATTATGTAACATTGTTGATAAAGGTCATTGATTTTTTGATAAATTTTTTTCGTTTGTTTTCATATCACGTCCGGGAAATACCATTATTATCGATATAATCGATACTATCGATAGAGTGACCGGTGGTGAATTATTCGATAGAATTGTTGAAAAAGGAAGCTATACGGAAAAAGATGCTAGCCTTTTAATTAAACAAATATTAGAAGCTGTTGATTATATGCATTCACAAGGTGTCGTACATAGAGATCTTAAGGTTTGTTTTTTTGATTTTTTTTTTTAAATTAATCTTAATCATATTTCTAATTATCATTGTTATTATAATTAGCCAGAAAATCTTCTTTATTATAGCCAATCAGAAGATTCAAAAATAATGATCAGTGATTTTGGTCTTTCAAAAATGGAAGAATCTGGTGTTATGGCAACAGCCTGTGGTACACCGGGTTATGTTGCTCCAGAGGTATATTTTTATAAACAAAACTTCTTTAATTAACTAATTTTTATTTTTTGGTTAATTTTCAAATCAAAAAAGGTGCTAGCACAAAAACCATATGGAAAATCGGTGGATGTATGGAGTATAGGTGTAATAGCATATATATTACTTTGTGGTTATCCACCATTCTATGATGAAAATGATGCAAATCTATTTGCACAAATATTAAAAGGAGATTTTGAATTTGATAGCCCATATTGGGATGATATATCCGATTCGGCCAAAGATTTTATTCGCCATCTTATATGTGGTATGTTTTTTTTGTTTTGTTTGATTGAAAAATTTTAACAAAATTTTAATTTTTATTCATCAAAGTTGATGTTAGTAAACGATACACATGTAAAGATGCATTATTACATCCATGGTATTTATAATTCTGAATTTTTTTTTCAAAATTTTTTAAAATGATAATTTTTTCCTCTTTTTTTTTGGTAAAGGATCTCTGGAAACACTGCTAGTGAGATTAATATACATAGTTCTGTTAGTGAACAATTGAAGAAAAATTTTGCTAAAACTAAATGGAAAGTAAGTTTTTTTTCAATTTGAAATCAATTTTTCACTAAAAAAATCCATTTTCATTTTAAAATCATAGCAAGCATATAATGCAACAGCCGTAATTAGACAGATGCGTAAATTAGCAATGTGTAATAATTCATCAACAACAATTACAATGACAACACCATCATCATCCACATCATCAATGATTAACCATAACTCCAATACTTCCAATATAACGCACCATGATCATGATCATCATCCACATCATCATCATCATCATCATCATCATAATCATCAACATAGCCATCATTATGATGAAGATGATGATGAAGAAGAATCGAATAAATTGTTCTCTAATACTGGTGATACTATGAATATTAATAAAGATAAACAACAACATGATAAAGATTAATTCTACTTAAAAAAAATTGATCAGTTTTTTTTTGTTTTTCTTCTGTTCATATCTTTGTTCACACTATTTTTCTTCAATTGAAAAGTTCTAAGTTTTTTTTCTGTTTGTTTGTTTTGTTCATTTCATCAATTTTGGTTCTCAACAAGCTGATTTTACTTCAGAAAAATGTTTCAAAAAAGAAAACAGCAAACAAAACATTTTGAACATTTCCGGCCAATTTTCTTTTCATTTTTTTTTTGCTTCAAAATAATGGTTTTCAAATGATGATGATGATGGGTAAAAAACATTCCTTTCACATTATTCGTTCAATATTTTGTTTTCTATGTTTGTTTGTTTGTTTGTAGGCAAAAAAAACAAATCAAAGTTGTTGTTTTATGTTTTTTTTTGTTAATCGAAAATAATTTGATGTCAATGATGATGATTGTGAAACATCAATGCTTATTATCATTATAATTTGTTGATTTTTTTTCTGTTTTTTTGTTCGTTCAAAATACTCAAAATTTATTACTCTAAATTATTATTTTCCAAAACAATAAAATTTGACAAAAAAACAACTTCAAATTACACAATTTTTTTTTTTTTGGTTTAATAATAACCAAGAAATTTTCTTTGTTTAAATTCATAAATTTTTTGCTGTGCAGTTCGTTGTTGTTTATTTGTTAAGATTGTTGCTGTTGTTGTTGTTGTTGTTGCCGTTGTTGATGTTGGTCGTTCCAATAAATATGGTACTGATCGCTGTGGTGGGGGTGGTGGTGGTGGTATCATAAATGATTGATAACCAAATTGATTATCATTTTTATCATAAATTTCAATATTTTTTCGGGTTTTTATTGTTTTTGTTGTTGTTGTTGTCATTGATGGTTGTGTGGATGATTTCATCATATATTTTGAATGATTTCTCTGATTTTTTAAAGGTAAAAATATTTTTTTAGTTAGTTACGATTCACAAAAAATCAATCAAATCAAATCATCATTACCTTTACTTTAACTAACCAACGTATAGCCATTTTTTTAGCAATCGATAAACGATGTAATTTTCTTGCTTTACGTTTTTTATAAATTATTTCAATTATAATTAAACCAAATGATGTTATAACACCAGAAAATACTAGAATAAAAACACCTGCCATATTTTTCATACCCAATGTATATGGAAAATGTTCAACTTTACTTTCACAATCTTTATCATTGGATATAATCCATTTATTATCCAATGATTCCATAAAACCACTTTCATGCATACGTAATAATGCTAATGTAACTTCATCAGTCCAGAAACTATTTTTCTGTAAACCAATACAATAACCAGAACGGCCAAATAATTCACCCGATAATACAAAATCACAATCTTGTGATGTTTCATATTCTAACCGAGGGGAATCCCAAATAAATGCATCTAATTCACCTTTTTTAATTGCTTCAATTGCTTCTTCTGGACTATTACGATTTGTTTCTTCCATTGTACGATATGCATTGAATAAATGAACTTGGCTACGAAAAAACATTTCCACTGCACTTCCTTTTACTGTTGCAAATGTAAAACTTTCGGTTGGATTACGTAACCGGGAATCTTCAATACCGGATAATGTATGATCATCTCTTGGATTTAGAACCAAAAATGCAGCTAAATTAGCCGTATATGATGCAACAACAATCATAGCAAATCCAGCCCTATTTATTTTTTGTTTTAATTAATTCAAAATTAAACATTCCATTCGGGTTAATAACAAAACAAAACAAAACCAAAAAAAAAAGTAACATACCAAACCATACCAAGAACTCTTGCACTAAAACTTCTTGGTGTTCCTATATTCAGAATGAATTAATTAAAAAAAAAATAAATTACATATGATATGTTAATTAGAATCAAATTACAACCAAAAAAAAACTACAAAGTACAAAAAAAAAACAGTAAACACATACTTTCACCAATTCCACTATTCAATAATACACCCCATGAAAACCAAATAGCACTGGATAAATTTAATGATGGTTCATCCGATAATGATACATTATTTATTTTATAATTTCCTAATGGACTAAATAAATCTAATAAATATAATGCCAATGCAACAATATGAACGGATACTAAAACTATTTTGTCCGATGAATAGAGAAAAGAAAATCATATAGTCAGTGTTAATCAAGAATCAAATCAATCCATTATCCAACTTACCTAACAACCATAATGTATTCTGAAATGGTTGTAAAAATGATGCTAATGTTGCTTTACGTGGTTGTCTTTTTTGTAATATTGTTATACCTTCATATTTGAATGGTTTTGAAAATGATATTACTTGACTACGTTCAGGATTTGCTGTTAATGGTGCAACAACCATATCAATACGACGATTAACTAATTCACCAACTAATCCGGTCCATATACGTGGACCAGATTCATCAACAAAATTCAAATTACCATATTGACCATCCGCTACTAATTCCAAATCAAATGAAAAATTTAAACGATTCGATAATTCTTTCATTAGATCAACACAATAACCTTGACAACAATAATTATCATAATGATCAATAGTTTGATTAAATTTTGGACAAAAAATTTGATTTTTTTGACATTCATTACTATCGGATTGTATTGCCCAAACGAATGGTTTTTCCGGCAAAGTACCAATTTTCAAATGTTTTGGTACAAAAAAACCTAATGGTTTTTGTATGTCACCACCACTCCAACGAATCATATGTAATAATAATGATAATTTCATACGCATTTGATTTGAATCGAATGAATATTTTCCAACAATAATTTCATTATTATCATTTATATTCAGAATTTCATATTCTGAATATAAACGATCACCATATGAATCAAATTGTATACGTTTACTACGTCCATTTAATGTTTGTTTTTTTAAATAATCATAAAATAATTGTCCAGTTTGCCATTTATTTGATGATGTTAAACGACAATTTGTCGGTGGTACAGTAATATTATGACGATAATACATATCCAACAGGGCATTGGTTAGTATATTAATACTATCTTCAATCATTAATTGTTCATCAGATGATTCTAAACGTAATGATAGGATACCATCAAAACGATTCGATGCTTTGGATGCCTGCTCGGATACGATCCAAACATAACCGGATTGATCCATTCCTTGTCTTCGTATTTCATCGAATATTAATTCAGCATCATCAGCATTGGCATATAATAATAGTACACGACAATAATAATTATTACGAACATTTTTTAAATCATGGCCAATGTTTAACATTCCTGTTTCATATTCAATTATTGATTCAATTTTAACTGAAATGAGAGAAATGTTTAGATAGTGAATTGATAATGAACTAAGCCAAACAGCTTACTATGGCTAATATCGGCCAAATTTTGAAAACGATTCAATGTAGCACGACCATCACTATCCGAACTATGTATGATGACAACATTTTTATAATCCAAATACAGTAGCATCTGTATCCAAACATCAGCCTGATGTGAATATGGTGGACTGTAAATAAGAAAATTTGTAAAAACTTTAAAATCACCAAATAAAAACAACGAATAAAACATACAGTGTTCGTAGAAAGAATGGATGTAAATTTTTATTCGAAAGGCTACTATCTCGATTCGATATACCAATCACTGAATGATAAACAGAATTTTCATTATTTTAAAAACAAAAATTGATTAAATCCAAAATACAAACCAGGTATATTATAAAAACCACAGGTAAACGAAACAGATGTTGGTGATTGTTTACCAAATTTTGGATGTGATACAATAACAGCATAAACTTCGGATAATATTAATTTATCACAAACATCTCTTGCAGTATGTATTGGATTTTGTGACATTTCAAATGCTTTTGGTCGTAATTGTAGACCATCCGGTAATGATTTATTACTTACATTTTCAATATCATTTATAAATGCATCAATATGTTTCGATTCACTCAATATTGCACCAATATTAAATATTTTTGGATTATTTAATAGATTATATTGTTGTTTGATTTGATCATTGTTTTGATTTGTTGATAATAATGTTCGATCATTTATTGATTGATCGATGAACTGCAATACAACCAAATAATCTATTAAAATAAAAGGAAATACTAATAGAATTCTTGATGAAATCATTTTTGATTTATTCTTTGTTTTTCAACATTTTTTTCTGATTATTAATAATGAAGATTTTTGTCCGAAAAATGATGCCCAAGAAAGGATGCTAAAAAAATGACAACAAAAATTCCTAAGAAACCTGCGCATTATCCCAATTCTTGGACCAAGATTCCAATGAACAAATTCAATTCGCGCGACCAATTTTTTTTCCTTCACTTAATAAATTGACTATTTCGATATGATCATGATCATTTAGATTGAAATAGAAAAGCATGTGTTATTTTTTTGAAAAAAATTGCGTTTGATTAATTTGTTAAATCTACATATTTATGAATGAATGAAAAATGAGTCGAACATTTGAAGAAGAATTAGAATTTCTGGTAAGAAATGATTCCAATAGTTGGACTATTAAAAAAGGATTTGTTCCTGGTATGAGAGTGGAAGGTGTTTTCTATGTCAATGATCATCTGGAAAAACTTATGTTTGAAGAATTACGAACATCATGTAGTGTTGGTGGTTTTGGTGGATTTTTACCTGGTGTTAAACAAATTGCCAATGTTGCTTCATTACCCGGTATTATTGGTAAATCGATTGGTTTGCCTGACATACATTCGGGTTATGGTTTTGCTATCGGTAATATGGCTGCATTCGATATGAATGATCCTGAAGCTATTGTATCACCTGGTGGTGTTGGTTTCGATATTAATTGTGGTGTTCGATTATTACGTACGAATTTATTTGAAAAAGATGTACAACCTGTTAAAGAAGAATTAGCACAATCATTATTCGATCATATACCGGTTGGTGTTGGTTCAAAAGGTATTATACCAATGAATGCAAAAGATTTGGAAGAAGCATTAGAAATGGGTGTTGATTGGTCATTACGTGAAGGTTATGCATGGGCTGAAGATAAAGAACATTGTGAAGAATATGGCCGTATGTTGAATGCTGATCCAAGTAAAGTATCGATGAAAGCAAAAAAACGTGGTTTACCACAACTTGGTACATTAGGTGCCGGTAATCATTATGCTGAAATTCAAGTTGTTGATGAAATTTTTGATAAATATAATGCCGGTAAAATGGGTATCGAATCAATCGGGCAGATTTGTATAATGATTCATAGTGGTAGTCGTGGTTTTGGTCATCAAGTTGCAACCGATGCATTATTGGAAATGGAAAAAGCAATGAAACGTGATAAAATTCAGGTGAATGATAGACAATTAGCTTGTGCCCGAATAAATTCTATCGAAGGACAAAATTATCTAAAAGCAATGGCTGCCGCTGCTAATTTTGCTTGGGTTAATCGTAGTAGTATGACATTTCTAACACGACAAGCATTTGCAAAAACATTTCATTCAACACCGGATGATTTAGATATGCATCTTATATATGATGTATCACATAATATTGCTAAAGTTGAACAACATTTAATCGATGATAAACCAAAAACATTACTTGTTCATCGTAAAGGTTCAACAAGAGCATTTCCACCACATCATCCATTGATTCCGGTTGATTATCAGGTAAAAATTCTATTTATTTTAAATTGAAATCCTTTTTCATAATTTTTTTTCCACAACCTAAAAAATGGATAGATCACTGGACAACCTGTATTAATTGGTGGTACAATGGGAACATGTAGCTATGTATTAACCGGTACGGAAACTGGTATGCATGAAACATTCGGTACAACATGTCATGGTGCTGGTCGTGCATTATCACGTGCAAAATCACGTCGTAATCTTGATTATCAAGTTGTATTAGATGATTTAGCTGCAAAAGGTATATCGATACGTGTTGCATCACCAAAATTGGTAATGGAAGAAGCACCTGAATCATATAAAAATGTAACCGATGTTGTTGATACTTGTCATGCGGCTGGTATTAGTAAAAAATGTATCAAATTACGACCAATTGCTGTTATAAAAGGATAAATTTTTTTTTCTTCTAATTAATTATTTTTGTTTATTATTAATTTCAATTTTTATTTATAATCATCATCATCATTATAATTCTGGAGAAAAACAAATAAAAATTGAATACAAATATTACATAACGACGACTATTATTCAATGAATTCTATAGAGGGAGAAAATGATTCGAAAATTAAACAGGCCATTTCCATTGATTAGCTGGTGGTTGTTTGGTCATCGGTTCCCATGGTTTTTCCAATAAAAATCTTCTAGCTAATGATAATTCATTTTTAGCTTGTACTAATAATTCTTCACATTGGCCACATTTAATATTTTGTTCAATATGTGATGGATCATTTTCCTTATTAGTGGGGAAAAAGGAGAAATTCAAAAAAATCATTAAGATTTGGAATTAATTAATTTAATTACATTTTGAACAATTGTTAATCGTTGATTAACGGTAGCCATTGTATAACGTTTATATGCTGCTGTATCGGGCATTTCATTCAAAATTTTCAAGGTATTTTTGTAACATGTGATTAATTCCTGAAAAGAAATTTTAATTTAGAAAAAATAAAGATTAATTTGAACAAAAACAAACGAAAAAAGGTCACATACTTCTCTTGGATTTTTTAAAACTTTCAAACCCGTTAGTCGAGTAGTCTAAAATATTAAGAAAATTTTAGAAAATTTTAGAAAAATTATCAATTCTACTAAATAATCACCTTTTTAATCAGATTAGCCATTGTTTTTTCTTCTGGATGAATTTAAATTCAAAACAAAACTGCAAAAAAAAATCCGAAAATTCAGCTGAAAAACAAAAACAGAATTTTCATTAACATTGACTCGATAATATCGTGTACCCGACAAGAGATGGCGTGCATCTCAATAATTTTTTTAAAAAATATAAAAAATTCAAATTCTGAAAAAACTTTTAAAATTTACGAAAAAATAAAATTAAAATTTTTCAAATATAATTTATTCAAATTTTCTTTATAATTATTATTATCAATATTAGTTTATATTATATAATATATGAATATGAATTTGAATATGATGCAGATGATGATGATGATAAAATGTGTGTGTGTGGATTACAATCAATAATCTTCAATCAATGATAAAGGGTTAAATTTTAAATTTTTTTTTTGTTTCTTTTTTAAAATCAATCAATCAATCAATTCAAACACACGCTCATTGATCTTCATCGATTCTTGGGAGAGGAAAAAAAATATAAATTCTGTAAGGTTATTATCGGTGAATAGAAGGAAGGAAAAAACAATATGAATAAAACGAATAAATCCTTCGTTAGAAGATGGATAAAATGGAAAGATTCATACACACAAAAAAACGATCCAGGAGAGGGAAGAACAGAAAAAGAAAAGAAATAATAAAAAACTGAACAGGCAAAAAAAAACAGAAACAGAAAATTAGAAGAAAAAAAATTATTATTATTAACCTAGCCTAGATGAAAAAAAAAATCAATGATTCGATTCGAAAAAATCGATTCTATCGATGATGATGTTCTTCTTCCGGAATATTTTTTTCGAATTATCTTTCGATTCGAACGTTTTCACTCACTCACTGTCCATCATGTGATCCATCATCAAAAAAAAAAATGTTTGTCGATAACGATATTATCGACATTTTATTTGTTTGGTGTGTGATGTATAAGAGAGAGTAAAAGAAGAAGAAAAAGATACACACAGCTAAAATACGCAAATAGAGCAAAAAGAAGAAAAAAAGAACATCAACAGCAGAATTGAAGATTTTTTTGTTTGTTTGTTGAAAAGACTGTTGGCAATTATTGCGACCAAAACGAAGAAAAGAAGAAACAAAATACGAAGATCATCGATTGATTTTATTTATTGATGTTTTTTTGAAGAAGAAAAAAAATTGTTGATTATTGATTAATGGCCATAATGTTGTTGTTGATGATTATGAATTGAATGATGATGATGATTAAAATGAGAGACCAATTCGAAATGTGGATAGAGATTTGATTTTGGAAATTAAAAAAAAAACAAATAAACAAGAAAACAAACAAACACTGGATTCAAGACACCCTTCAAGATATTATTGTATAATTGGATTTATGTGTGTGTGTGAAAAATGATTGACATAAACAACATTTGAAAATTTGAAATGAAATATTGAGGGAGGAAACAAAAATCAATCAAACAAAAATTACAACAAATTAACCCTTTTCCTACTCAATATATACTACACACACACACACATTCGAACACAAACAAAAACAATGATAAACCATCACCATTACTTGACAAAAATTTTTTTTTTGTTTTGAAAAAAATACCTTCCGTATTTTACAAGTATAGGAAGTAAAGGTGTGTTTGTGTGTGGAAATAGTATGGTGGTAGGTGTGTATGGGTGAGTGTATATAGTGGATGAATTATGTTCGATTTTGCATAGAATTTTGGAAACAAACAGAATTTGAACCATATTTTTTTTGATTGTGTTACCAACTTGAGTAACAATCCAAAACAACCAAAGAAGAAAATAAAGAAAATAAAGACAGTGTATTTTGTGTTTGTTTGTGTTTCAGGAGAAAAGAAATGGTGTAAGAGTGAAGAGTGAAAAGATGAAGAAAAGAAAAAAATATATAACGAATCATTATAAACGAAAATATGATAAATCGATAAACATATGAATATTTAACAAATATTATTTAAAAAGTATGAGAAGAAAAAAATGAATGAATCATGCCAGAAGATTAAAATTGTTGTTGATGAAGATGATGATGGTAGTTTTGTTGTTGTTGTTGTTTGGAAATTTGAAGATTAGATTAGATGTGTTATGGTTTTCGTGTGTGTATGTGTTTTTGTTTCAAAATAGACAATTGGACAGAATCAAATGGGCAAGCGAAAGAGAGAAATTATTATGAATAAATTCTTTGTTTGATTCTGTATGTAGATGATGATGATGATGATGGTTGATGATGATAATGATGATGATTTTTATCTATTAAAATGTTTCTATATATTTGTTTTTCTTTGAAGAATAAAATGTTAAAGTTCCATATCTTTGGTCTCATCATCACTAAAATCACTCATTGTACTTTCACTTGAATCAGATTCTTCTTCTTGTTCACGTAATGCATCTTCTGTGGCATATTTTTTAACATAATCTATTTTAAACAAAACAATAAAAGAAATTCCATATAGAAAAAAAAACAAAAGAAACTGTGGAAAAAAAACGCATACCTCTAACTTTTCTTTTATATTCTTCAGGTTTATGTAGATACATTGCCGCTGCATCACCATTCAGTGGATCAATTGGATTAGGATAGGTTAATAATTGAGGTAAAAATGATTCAAATATATTGGATAAATCATATAATGCTGTCCATGCTTGATTAATGACGTCTAGGCAAACAGTGCCCGAACTAAATAAAAACAAAGAGAAATGGAAAAAAGAATTCATAGATGAATAAATAATACATACACTTCATCAATATTTGGATGGAATATTTTATTCATAAATCCAATCGATGGTGATTTAAATGGATATTTTTCAGGTAAATCAACACGAACTTTCCAAACACCACCTTCATATGATGCTAAATGAATTGAAATGAAACAAAAAATAAGAATTAATACAACAAGAACAATACAAAAACACATAAAATACATACTTCCTTTTGGACCAAAAAATTTGACACAAAATTCATTTAGGCCACCTAAAATTGTGACTTCATGTTTGGATTCGATTCTGTTTATAGGAAAAAAAAGAAAAAAGAAAATTAAACAAAAACTAAATTTAGCCACAAAAAAAATAACCATACAATTTTAGAACGTCAGTATCCATACGACGTTTTCCAGCCGATGGTGAAGACATTTTTGTTTTGTTTTTATGTTTTTCAAACAATTCGAATTCGATGATCAAAATTTGGAAGTAAGATGATCGTCAGATGATGATGATTCACAAAAAAAATGAGCACCCAAACGAACAAAAACTGAAAGGAAAAACCAATTTCGTTTCTTCGGTTGAAACTCAGGAAAAGCCAAAACAGAACAAAACAGATGATGATGATCTTTAACAACAAAAAAATCGATTCTGTTTGTCTTTAATTATTTAGAAAAAACGGGAAAAGAATTCTCTTTTTTTAGATTCTGTAGTCGTCTTCGTCTTCAACTTTTCTCACAAATTATTCGTTTTTCTAGACACAAGGATCCAAAAAGAATCTTTTTTTTTCTTCGTATCTTATTAATTGTTTTTTCGAATGTTGATCAAGAGAGAGAAAAAAACGATGATGATGATGATGATTTTGATTTGATTTCACACAAACACACACAGTGAACATATAATAATAACCTGTATATATGTGTGTAATATTGGGGTAAAAAAAATGAAATGAAATGAAATGACTGAATTGAAAAAGAGTAATAACAACAACAACAACAACAAAAAAAAACACAGCAATTTTTGTTGTTGTTGTTAGTTTGGTTGTAATGGATAGAAGAACAACAACAACAACAACGAGGATGATGATGATGAGGAGGAGGAAAGTATAGAGTTTTTTTTATTTATTTGAGGAAAAAAAAATCTGAAAGACAGACGTCGTTTTTTTCTTTCAGTTTGAAGATAGATAACGAAGATGATGAGGAAAAGAGCATAAAAAATTAAAACGAAACGAAACAATCTTCTTGTGGTTGTTCTTTTTTTTGGTGATTTAAAACTGTGAATAACAGCAAAAGCTTAAGTGAGAATTGGCCAAAAAGAATATATTGTGGACAACAAGCAAGAAGAGGAAGAGAAAATGATGATGATGATTGAAAGAAGGCAAAGTAAACTAAGCCAAAGCCAAACTATTACAAATAACAACAACAAACTCTATGATCTTTTTCTCTCTCTTTTTCTTTGGCTGTTTTTACGTTATTCGAATCGCATAATGTATCGATATATGTATGTACAGGGTATGTGCAATATATGGAACGACGACGAATGATAATGATATGAGTTGTGGTGGAGAAGAAAAAAAAATTGTTGAGAGAATTTATATATAGAGGATAAAGAAGTGGTAAACAGTATGTGCAAAAGAGAGAGAGAGAGGACAGAAGGCAAAATATTATGTCGTAAATAGAGAAATGGAATAGAGAAAGAAAAAAAACAAGATTTGATTATATTCTAATGATGATGATGTTGAATGAATGAATGAATGAATCAAAAAGAGAATGATGATGACAACAGTGCGTAGTTTTATGTATTAGATGATGAAAAAAAAAGACTTGTTTTTCTATATTTTTAAAAGGCTAAAAACATATTTGAATCGAGAGTTTTTTTTTTGGGCGAGAGAATACAGTAGGGCTTTAATTTGTGGATCCTATTTGAAAACAAATCAGAAGAACGAAAAGCAGCAAGCAACAAGGCTAAATACCATCAATACATACCACACACAGAGAGATGATTTAACCAATTTTCATTTTCAAATCAAAAAAATGAGATCCAATGAAAAGTTTTCTTTTTTTTTAAATGAAAAATTATCATTCAAAAGAAACGATAATCAGTGGCTGACGATATTTTCGAATGTAAACGACGACGACGACAAAGTCAATTTTAACTTAAGTGGTTTTATTCGAAACTGATTCGACTCAATAAGTAATATTTTTTTTTTGTTGTTGTGACTACTGTTATTGTTTATATAGCCAACAAGAAGGAAGGATAGAGACTTGGAACACATGACATTGTCATGATGATAATGATCATAATGATAACAGGGGTAATGGTCATAATAATTTTACGACCATCGTTTATCAATAATGTTCCGAAAAATTTACATAATCATTTTGGTTTTACTTTGTATTCTGTTTTGCAGACGATTATTTTCTCATTTATAACTTTATGGTCATAATGTATTATGACTTTAACCAGGAGAATAGGAAATTTTTTTTTAAACAAAAATCCAATTTTGATTAAAATCTTCTGTTCTTCATTGTTGTTGTTGTTGTTGTTGTTGTTGTTGGGGGTGGTGTTTTGCTTTGGTCATCAGATAAACATCAATGTCAGCTGGTCGTAGTTATCCTCCCTCTTCGAGAAAAAAAAACATTCGATTTTTTTTCAGTAACATATGTTTTGTCTTCGTTGTCAAATTTGATCAAAAATTTTTTGTTCTTGAAAGAAAAACGTAAGAAAATAATAGCCATTAATAGATAAATTTCTCTTTTTTTTTAAAAAAATTACAAATTTTTATAAACTTTTAAATTTCACTCTTTCTCTCTCGCATATTGGATCGTTTTTTGCATTTTTGCATTCTTGGCAATTTCATCATTATCATCAATGGCTTCTGCATTTACAAACAAACAAATAGAAATTTCAATAACGAAAAAAAACATGAAGGATTTCTCTTTCTCTGTAAATCAAAAATAGAAAATCAAAATTGCATAGACGTTGGGGCGATGGTTAAACACACACACGATAAATAAATTGTTGTTGTTGTTGCACGTTTAAATTACTAAAATTGATTGATTTTTTTGCAAATTTGCATCAAAATATGATCCAAAAGTGTTTGGATCTTTCAGAAACTTTGAAACAAACAAACGAAAAAAAATGAAGAAAAGAAACAAACCCGTTCACATATCGTTATCGAAAGAAAAAAAGATTCAAATCATCACATGTGATGCATTTGATAAAAATCTCTGATCATCATCATCATCCAGCAACCACTTTTCCATCAACAATTTTTTTTTGTGGAAAAAGCAAAATAGAGAGAAAAAAGGGTATAATAAACTCTTCCTTCTTGTTTTTTTTGCTGTTGAAAAATACGCATCATTTACGTAAAAAAAAACGTTTGAATCAAACGCGCATGATGCTTATGGGCCAAAACGAAAGAGAGATAGCAAAAAAATAGCTATTATTTTCCGTACTTCGAGGTCATTCCTTTCCTCGACCAAAACGATGATTGGTTGGTTGGTGATGATGATAAAAGGATTGCAATCCACATGGTGTGTGTACATTGGATTTTTTTGTTTTGGGTTTTTTTCTGGTTGTAAAATGAATACGCATTGGATTTTTTTTAATGTAAAAAAAAACAAAGGAAAAACGAGGATTTTTTATTCAAAAATGACAATTTTGTTTAAATTTTTTTCAACATAGATTCAATAGCTGGTTGTTTCGAAGTTTCAATAGTTGGATTATCATTCAGATTATTTTCATTATCTAAATAATTGAAAAATTCTGTTAATAATGATTGATTTTCATCGGCCATATCCAATGGATTAAATGTACCATCATATGTATCACGACTAAGACCAGCTTTATTAAGTGTTTCCAATTTTTTACTTAACATTGGCCATAACATTTCATCCATTGTATTTTTTGCAACAAGATAAATAACATCAACATTTTTTGATTGACCAATACGATGTGCACGATCTTCAGCTTGTGCTAAAACACCCGGTGTCCAATATAATTCTGTAAATATAACAATCGATGCTGATGTTAGATTCAATCCAGTTGCACAAGCAGTTAAACTTAATAAAGCAACTTTATATTTTTTTTCATTTTGAAATGTATCACATGCTTGTTGACGATTTTTTGCATTTATTGTACCATTAATACGAATATAACTAATCTTTTTTTTTAACATGTCCTCAATAGCATTCATCATTATTGAATGATGACAAAAACAGATTATTTGTGTATCATCATCTGTTTTGTTCACTAATTCTTTCAAATATTCATTGACAGCCTGTATTTTAAGTTCGGCCGTCTTATGAAACCATTCAAATGCAACCATTTGACGTTGATTATTTTGTTTTGAATTTTTAGTTATTCCTTTGTGATAATTTAATACTGCAAGTTCTTTTTCCGTTAAATGATCCATTGATAATAAAAACTAAGAGAAAGAAAATCATTTTAAAAAATCAATTTCATTTCATTTTTTTTCATTCTCAAAATAATAATACCATTTCACGTTTTTTCGTTGGTAATTCATTGAGAACATCTTTTTTCAATCTTCGTATCATAATTGTATTCTCCAAAATTATACGTAATTCATCCAGATTATCAGCACCTTTATAATTCCAAACACTCATCGATCGACCATTACGAAAAAATGTTTGCTGTTTTGCCTGACAATATCTTTGACCAAATGTATGTTTGGATGGAAAAAGTTCCGGTGCAATCAGATTGACCTGGGGAAATAGTTCTTTTGACCGAAAAAAAATCAAATCAAAATCAAAGTTAATTCAACAAAACTGAATAATTACCGATTGGCCGAGAAAGTGCCGGCGTACCGGTCAACAAAATTATTCGATTACATGATTGGGCAATTTGTGTTGCAACATTTGTTCGTTGTGAATCATCCGATTTAATATAATGTGATTCATCCATTATAATCATTCGATAAAATCGATTAGTTTCAATTGTTAAACGATCTTTCATTCGTACAATTAAATCATAACTAGTTATGGTAATTGATACACGTGGAAATATTTCTTTTACTTTGGTTGCAATAAAAATATCCGATTCATTAATATCCGGGAAATATTCTAACAATTTTTCTTTCCATTGATATCGCAATGATGACGGGCAAATAATTATTAATGGCCAATCATTACGAAACCATTTAGCAATACCGATTGATTGAATTGTTTTACCTAAACCCATATCATCGGCTATTAAACATTTACCATTACGTTGTACGCCGAATATAATACCATCACGTTGATATGGATAAAGTTTTGATAAAAAATCATCGTCCAATTTTTCCGATAAATCAATCTTCAATTTACGCATATTTTGATTTTCAATCAATATTTTTATCAATGATTCGGATAAACTTTTTTCAAAAACAATCATAATATTTTTACCATTCAATTCTTTCATATCGGTCATAAATCGGGAAAATTCTGTCAATGAAAATGACCATGTTTTTTTGATCGGATCATATTGTCTTGTTTCATAATGTTTAAATTTTTTGATAATTTCTTCTTCATAAGTGAATTCAACATGAAAACGTGATTTATTCAAAAGTTTTACAGACATTTTTATCGTTCTTTTCGGTGGTTTCGAAGGTAATGATGTCGATGATGCAATTCCGTTCGTTTTGGTCGATTTATTTCGATCATTTAGTTGTGTAAAGGAATTTGGTTGAGCATTTTGATTTGAATTTGAATTCGATACATTATTCATCGGTCGTTTTTCATTTTCCGTACGAAAATATTTCGATGTTGATTTACCATCATCGGGCTGATTATTTACAGAATTTGCCCGCTGTTGCTCTTGTTGTTGTTGTTGCTGCTGCTCTCGTTTTCTTTTCAATAATTCAATAGCTTTTTGTCGCTTTTCTTCAATCATTTTCAATGTTTCCTCGTCAATTGTATCCATTCTAAATGATTTTGTTGATCATCAAACAAAAAAAACAAAACAAAAATCTTTTCAAACAAACCCGCAAAAAAAATCGAATGAAAAACAGTTTTTCAAAAAAAAAGCAAAAAAAAATCAATAATATCAAACCGTACGTATAGTACGTTCAAAAATAATCGAACGATTTTGAGATTTAAATTCGGGTTTTTTGGCTTTTCTTTTTCTTTCTTTTGGTTGTTAAATGTCAAAAAAATTATATAAAGCATATAGCAAATTAAATGATCTATATTTGATTTCATTCATTCATCTAAATACCCAATCCACACACACACACAATGGATACAATGAAACGAAATTCTTTTCTTTTCCTTTCTTTCTGGTTCCTTCTGGAACGCAAGCGCCAATTGTTCCAAAAAATGTTTCTGGCTCTTCTTTCCTTGTTTGCTTCACAATCATCATTTCTATTAGCCAAAAACATTAAGAGAAAGAAAGAAAAATTGGATCAAAGAATCAAGCGAGAGAGAGAGAGAGAGAGAGAGAGAGAGAGAGAGAGAAACAGAACACCACACACTTTAACCAAAGAATCTTTGCTGTTTGATTGAAAAG